CAAACTGAATATCTGGTAATAGAGGGCCCATTAAGTAAATTGTAGGGAAATGCACTGCGACTGTGAAGAATTCTTTTTTAGAAGAATGTAAAATGGAATGGAGAATGCCCGTGATAAAGTGAAAAAGTAAGTTAAAAGTCTATAAATACTGTATGATCCCATTTTTGTTTAATAGACACATGCTGTCTGTATGCATCAATAGGGAGGTAGATAGAGATGGACACACAGAAACACAGGAAAAGGACTAGAAAAATATCAATATCACCAATATTTTAATAGCGATCATCTCCGGACAATGGGTAAACTTTTTTTCTGGTATTGGCTACCTTTCCCATAGTGAAATGTATTAATGATGTAAAGATAATAATTTTAAGTAACACATACTCATTAACCCAACAATTTCAGTAAACAATTTTTGAGTATCCACTATGTACCAAGTGCTATGTGTTCCAAACATTAGAAAAGAAAATACGAACAAAAAGGAAAATCTGCTGACATCCCCGCGCCACTCACATTCTGGACGATCTCCTTCCAGACTCTTTGAGTGCAGTTTTTGGAACTAAGGAGTCATAGAGCAGGCAGCCCTGAGCCCTGGTCAATAGGAGTTCATTCAGCCAGTCGGGGCCAAGCAGCCCCTGAGCCCCAAATCTGCCACTTGGACCAGCAGACGACACTGCCCCCTAAGCTTTAGCTCCGTTCCCAGTGACCAGGACTAAGCGTGGTACCCGCCTCATCGGTCTCTCGGAGGATGCAGTGAGTTACAAGTAAATTACCTGAGGTACGTAGCAAGTCATATTATTATTATTGCTGTATGTAGAACAGGTACGCTGCGATTCTGCTTTGTTTTCCTTCTCCTTTCTTCCCGAGTGTAAATAGTTGTGTTTCTCTTGGACAGCAGAGACCACTGTTCGGGTCCTTTGGGCGTATAAAGTCACCTTTGAATTTTGTTTGCAGGTGAGATCACCCAGTTAAAGCCTTTTGGCCTCATACCCAAGCCAAAGCTGTAAAGGACAGAGAGAGGGGCCATGGTGGAGAGGAGTTTGTGTGCGCCTTTCAGAAAATCATGGGAGTCAGTGTTGGACAAAAATCTTACTTAATTGGGTTTGGAAACCTAATAAATCTGTCGAATTATAGGCAACAGGACATCTAAACTTTCATGGCTTATTCCGACACTTATTGCCTTTGAGCCTTGGTGTTCTATTCTGTCTTCTGAATGGGGGTACTTAGGGCTCTTTGGAAGGACAATGGCCAGTGGCAGGCTCATTCTTGGAAGAACCTGCCTGTTTCTAGCCGTGGCATGGCCTGGCTGCAGCCTAGCCACCATCATCTCCTTTCTGCACAAGTCTGAGGCCTCTGAACTCATGCCCTGCCTTCCCTCCCACCCCTCTTAGGGTCTGTTCTCCACTCACAACCCAATAAGCATCTTAAAATGTCCATCACTGTATGTTACCTCCTAATTTTAATCCCCAGTGACTTTCCACCGCCCTCAGACAAAAGCCCCAACTTTTGACATGACTCCACATCTCTGTGTGATCTGTTCTTTGCATGCTTCCCCATTTTGAGCACATCTTCCCCCTGTCCACGGTGCTTGAAGTATCCTGGCCTTCTGTTGGAATTCTAGAACACACCATGCACTTGCTCACCTCAGGACCTTACCCCTATTCTTGCTTCCACACAGAATATTCTTGGCCTTACTCTTTGCTTGTGTGACGCCCCTCGTTCTTCTGGCCCTCTCTTCCGTGCCATGACCTTAGAGAGGCTTTCCCTGGCTACCTAATTTGTCACAGCTCTTCTTGTTGGTGCCTTGTTTGTCCCTTTTATAGACTTGGCCTGAACAAATTTCTACGATTTCACATATTTATTTGTTGGCTTACTTGGTGTGTGTGTCTACGTGCTCAGCCTGCCTGTCCCCGGTATTCCCTACCCTTTGAGAATATAAGGTCTCCGAGGGCAGGGACTGTATCTTTCCCTTTGTTGCCGTGTCCTCTGGCAGAGGCTCTCTGAGAGAAGGTGCCCAATAAATATGAAGGGAAGTGAGAGAAGGAAGGAGGGAGGAAGGAAATCTCCGAAAAGGGGGATGCTTTTCCAGGCAGTCCAGTTCCCCGGGAATGTGGGCAGTGTGTCTTGCTCAGCCCTAGCATTACTGTGCAAGTTTAAAAATAAAACCCCTGGGTGGAGTGAGAAGACTTCAGAGAGGATGGGGGAGAGATAATGAGAAACATGAGCAGCCAACGCAGGCCCAGCAGGATGTGGGACTGGCCAGGAAGAGAAGGGGACCTTGACTCTGGGGAAACACTGACTTTGGGGGTGTAATAGTCTGATGAATGTAGGACTCCTAATTAGTCACTGAGATCTTTCTCTTGATCTGCAGTATAAGAAGACTTTTAAGTAGCCAATTCAGCCCCTGCTTCCATCCTACAGTAAGACATGTTGAGAGCTCTTTTGAAGAGATGTTCTTTATCCTCGCTGAAACAGAGGCCTCCACACCCTACATCTGACTGCCGTTCCATCAGAAGAAGGAAAGGCCAGGAGGTAACAGAGGTGATTAAGCCTACTTTGGCTCACCCTCCCCCTGACCTTCCCCAGGGCCTGTCCCAGCGTGGGATCCGAACCTCCCACCACAGTAGGGCCCCAGCCAGACATCCCAAGGTGTATCCGCCCTCCAAAGGCTTGGCTTAGTTCTGGGGCAGCGTAAGTCAGGGAGGGTCAGGTCAGCGGATCACTAGAGACAACTCGGACATCGCCTTGGAAACGCTCTCCCCCGATGTGCGCTGCCTCCGTTTGGATCCACCCTGAACCAGCTGTGTGTTCAATCCTCGGGCCTCAGTGGGAGGTGGAGAGGCATCTGGGGAAGGTCAGAGTGGGTCAGGAAGGGGTCCCCCTCCTTTAAGGAAGACCATGAATCTTCAGGCCTTCGTGAGAAGTCTGACATCCCAGGGGAGCAGCGGGCTAAAAATCCATAATCTGGTTCTGGCCCTGGTGGTGCGAGGATGGGCTGAGCTGAGTGCAGGGGCTGCCAGCATCCCCTCCTTCGGACCATGACCTGGACCCCTTCCCATAATCCATCTCTCTGCACTGCTCCAGAAGCCAAGTGATGTGCTCATGGTCACCTGGTGCAAGCAAATACTGGCAAGCCTTTAACACATTGATCGCCGCTGGGTTTTTTTCCATATCCACAGCTATGTGATGGTCAGGAAGGCCACAAAGGAAGGAGTATAGAGAGGGACAGCTGGAGCTCTACACGCTGTGCTTAATCTCCAACCCACTCTCTAGAGGCAGCTCTTGTAGAGAAGGAGCCCAGAGCATAAAAAGGACTGGTTTCTTACACAAGGTCACGCAGTGGGGAGGGATGGAGCAGCGGACGGCCTCAGTGCAAAAGCCAGGCCAGTCCAGCCTATGCCAGCCTGTCCCTTTCATCCCAGCAGTTGGATTTTCAAATGACTTAAGCTCAAAGTCCCAGACCAGGGCCCTAGAGCAGTATTTGTGAGGAGTCTGTGCCCTGAGGAACCTCACACCCCTGGATGGGTGGGAATCCCAAAGCCATTATGTGAACTGAGCAGAAGGAGGCTGCTGAAGTTGACTCCTGTAATTGTTGGAAACGCCCGCAGCCTCAAAGTACTGAACAAGTAGCCTGTGTGTATTTCATGTCCAGCTCTTTAAGTGCTCTGTTGCTTTCTTGGCTAGTTCTAGGTTCCTGACACAAGGATTTTATTTTATTTTATTTATTTTTATTTTTAAAGATATTTTATTTATTTATTTGACACAGAGAGACACAAGCAAGGGGAGTGGGAGAGGGAGAAGCAAGCTTCCTGCTGATCAGGGAGCCCAATGGGGGACTCAGTCCCAGGACCCTGGGATCATGACCTGAGCTGAAGGCAGACGCTTAACAACTGAGCCACCCAGGCACCCCTGATACAAGGATTTTAAAGTGCTGAGAAAGCACAGGGTGATAACTGTCCCTTGAAACAACAACAAAAATTGATGGAGAAACAGTAGGACAACAGATGACCTTCATGTCCCAGGAACATTTTTTTAGATCAATTAAATTCTTACAAAGCGTTCTAAAAAAAGCCTTAGCCAGACTACAGACTTGTCAATAATTATATTTTATTGGGCAAATACTGTGTTGTGTGTTACATCCTAAAACCTTTTTGGTGCTTTACACGGACTGTTTCACTTAAATTTCAACCAGCCCTATGAGAGAGCAGCACCCAACGCTGACAATGTCATGCAAAACGGACTTAGCCTCTATTGACACCCATACTCGTGGGAACAACCCCAGAAAACAGGTCCCCCTGTTCTATTTCACAGAAATGGAGAATTTGTGTAACTTGGCCAGGGCCATGCATCTGTTGATTCAGAGCCAGAATTCAAAGCCAGCCCTTCCCCGGAGTCCATGCCCTTGGCCATTTTGCTCCCCTACCATTAGGCATCACAGACTGTCAGTCTGAACTAATGAAAGGGTAATGAGAGCAGTGGGTCAGAATTGGAACATGAGATGAATCTTGGGCTTCTCTGTTGACTCTTTCTCCAAGGAACTTAGGACTCTGCTTCCGGAGCCCTCAACAAAGTCATCCAGGACCAGCTGGGGAGAACGGAGCAAGTTTTCTGTAGCCACCTGAGCGAAGATTTTGTGCTTGCTCCTCTAATTTAAATTCCTTATCACCAAAGCCTGGGCCAACCCAGCCCATGACCCTGAACTGGGAGCATGTTCTCTGGGCTGCAGACTTGCTCTGTGTGGGCTCTAGGGAGTGACCGGAGCCTTCATCTCAGCTCTCCCCTTGTTGCCATTTCTAACTCTGACAGAGATCCTGAGGAAGGACAAGATGACTCTCATTTTCTAGAGATTCTTTATAGCCCCAGAGATACTGGTGCAGCCCTTTGCACACATTGATTAATCAAAGCAAACTGCTTCTGTTCCCACCTGACTGATGGTTCCAGCTGCCTCCGTAGGTGCGAGGGCCGGAACTCAGTGGATTAATGTCTCCCTTCTCGGTGCCTGACATCACTGACTTGCCTTTGATGCCCATCAGCCAAAAGACGTTATTCATCTCTAAGCATGAACAATACAATGAAGCTGAATTTTCCAGGCAACCAGAGTGAGTTCTCTGAAGAGGTGAGACCAGGCTGGCTAAGCCAGATTTGGTGGCATATGGCTTGGGGACCCATGAGGGGTGTGTTCCCCTAAGTCAGGGTCGGAGGTGCTTGGTGCAAACTTGTCAGCTTTGCTTTCAGATGTGATGCACCCCTTTCTAGAGCTATGAGGAACAACAGACTGGGAGATCCCACAGCTGGCCTTGGCCTTGGCTTTCCCACTCCAAGATTGAATGATTCACTCATTCATTCATTGGGCCAGTATTTGTTGAGTGCCTGCTCTGTGGCTAGGCTCTGTCCTAGGGATACAGCGTGAAACAAGATGGACGAGCTTCTGCCCTCACGAGGCTCATGTTCTAGTGGGAAAGATGGGCAACAGTAAGTCTTGGGAAAACTGAAAAGTAGAGACTGGGACAAGTGCCACGAGAGGGAGAGACAGGAAAGAAAGCCTCTTTGGGGAGTTCCCAAGAGAGGTGAGGCCCAAGTGTGAAAAGATCTGCTATGTGCAGAACAGGGGGAGCATTCCAGGCAGATGGAACAGCAGTTGTAAAGTCCGAGAGGCAGGCAAGGACATGGCACCACAGAGGAACAGGAAAGAGGCCAGTGAGGCTAGAGTGGGGGCGGGGGGGATGTGAGAGGAGCAGAGTCGGGATCTTGCTCCCCAAGAGGCCTCGGGCTGCTTACTCACCTTCCTGAAAATCCCCTCTTTCCTCCGAAGTGTGCTCTGCTTGCTCCAAGAACTTATCCTTGCTTAGCCACATCCAGTCCCTCTTCAGAAAGAACAAGGAAGAGAGTTCTTTTTGTGGCAGGTGGGGCCTGTCAAAGGCATGGCTCTAGTTTTACCCTGAGACTCTTGTGGGGATGGTGCCCACAAGGACAGGCATGGTTGAGAAGTGTCCCAGCAATGGGCATGGTGTGTTGTTGCGGTAGCAGGCTTGCTGCTGCTCCCAGGAACTCAGCAATAAGGCAGCATTTGGCTTTGCCCTGCTTCTTTCAGACGGTTCTCTGCCTGCTCTCACCCCTGATAGCCTCAGGGGTCTTTCTGGGCTTCCTGCCCTTACTTCTTTCCCTTTCACAACTGGAATCTCTACCCTTCTCAGCAGCCTGATGGAATCATTGCCTCTGGAATGCATGCCTGCTCCTGTTGCTTCAGGCAAAGCATGTAAGCAGAGAGCTTGTATTCTGAGGCCTCTCTTTGGCCTCCAAGGGATGCTGAACAGGGGGCTGCCCAGTCAACCCGTCCAAGGTGCTCAGCTTGCTATCACAGACAGGAGAGAACTGTCCCTATTCGACCCTTTCCAGTGGGACGGTGACAAACACCAGAATGTTGCGGGTAGACCACAACTACAACAATTTTTTGGAGGTCCTGGAACTTATCCCTAGAGGCAGTGCAGCCAACCCCAAGTCTGGGAGCTCAGAAAATCTGATGTCTGGCTTCAGGGTGGACCCACTGCCAAACCACACCATCGGCATCTCCATCCCAGCATTCCCTTTGTTGAAAGGAGTTTTCCCTATATAGGATCACTTCCTTCTCTGGCCTTCTGTGGTTCTCATTTGAAGAACCTAAATTGTCAGCATGGCTGCCATTGTCAAGACCCCTCCTGGGCCTTGAACTCTGGCTGTCTCCTCTTTCTTCTTCCTTGCATTCCAGCCACACTGGCCTTTCCTCCACTCCTTGGCAATGCCACACTTCCTCATCCCAGGTGACCTTGGCAGTACTCTTCCCTCCATCTGAAACACTCATCCCTCACCCAGTGGACCCTTGCCAGTCCCTTACTTCTCAACCCAGGCATCATGAACTCACCAAAGCTTTTCCAGACCCCCTGACTGGGTCAAGTAGTGCATCTGCTTTCCTGAGACACTCAGAAGTACTGCATGCTTGAGGTCTGTATCCCTATCTGACCTCTGGCTTTCCTGAAGGTAGGGACCATCCATTCCAGGCTCCGTTCTACCCCAGTGTTCAACATGCTTCCCGGCACACAGGTGGCCTCCCACAGGGGAGTGGAATGGACCTGTCATGGGCATGAATGACCCTCAAGTATCCCCCATCCCAGTCCCCATTTTCTCTCCTTTTCCTCTTCCTGGCTCTTTGTTTCTTTACTTTCCCTTCCCACTTCCCTCCTCATCCTTGCTATTCATTCCTTCTTCCTTCCTGGGACCTGGACCTGCCTATGACTCCCATGAACAGTGTTGAAGAATCATGAACAAAAGAAGAATAGTCATGAGTTAAAAGAGAATGTTGTCATAGCTTGCTATAATGTGTTGGCCTCAAACTAGATCACCCCAAACTCAGGGGCTGCGGGAAGAATGTAGGTTCCCACTGTACTAGTCTGCTAGGGCAAGTACCATGACCATGGCTCAAGCAATAGAAGAACATTGCCTCGTAGTTCAGGGGGCCAGAAGTCCAAAACCAAGGTATCAGCAGGGCTGGTTCCTTGGGAGAGCAGCAAGGGAAAGAGCTGTTCCAGGGCTCTCTCCATCTTATAGATGGCAGCTGGCTCCTTCTGAGTCTGGGAGGGAGGGATCCATTCCAGGCCTCTGTCCCTGACTTGGAGATGCCCTCTTTTCCCTGTGTCTTCATGTCATCATCCCTCTAGATCTGTCTCTGTGTCCCAGTTTCCCCATTTATAAGGATGTCAGTCACACTGGATTAGGGTCCACCCTAATGAAGTCATCTGGATTGATTTCCTCTGTAAAGGCGGCTCCAGATTAGGTCATGTTCTGATATTCTGGGGGTTAGTATTTCAGCATATGCGTTTAAATAGAGGACACAGTTCAGCTCATAACACCTGTCTTCCACCTGTCCACTGCCCCGATCCTTTTTGATTTACGAAGGAGAAAAAGGTAAGGAAGCACAGGGACACATCTTCTGAGGAAGTTATTTGGGAGCCTGGGAACAGAAGTGGACAAGAGAGGAATGTGAACCAGAGAAAGACCCCCAAGAGTGAAAAGGGAAAGGCTGAACTGACAAACAGCTAAAACCCCAGTTGTCGCCTGGCCCAGAGGTTTCCTGCTGATGCTCTGGTTATGGGATCATCCTACGTTCACACCCAGATCAGTCGCTTACTAGCAGTGGCGACTTGCCCCTCCTTTGTAACAGGTGGGTAGTGAGCACAGTTAACCGATGGGACGGCTCCGAAGACTGATGGAGGGACAAGCGTGAAGGGTGTGCCACTGTGCCAGGCACAGAGTAACTCACGGTGCAGCGGGTGTGGCGTCATCGGCCTTACTGCCAGTGGGGGGCAGGTCCCAGGAAAATGGTAATTTGGGAAGAAGGTGATTACAAGGAAGAGGCTGATGGTCACTGAGGCCAAATGACTCTTGTGTTCTCGTTCACGGTAAGAGCCATGATCAGACTGCAGCTGTGGCCTGCGGACCAAAGTCAGAATCACCTGGGCCCCACCCAGGAAATGCAGATTCCTGGGGCCCTCAGCGGCCTGGCTAAATCAGGACCTCTGTGGGCAGGACCCGGGTACCTGATCTTTTAAACAAGCTCCCCGGTGATTCTTATGCATGTGAAAGTTTGCAAACCACAGATCCTGAAGAGACAGAAATGAGTCTTGTCCAAGGACCACCCACATCTACACAGCCCTGGTGCAAGGCAAGCATGTCCCTCACACCTGTCGTCCTCACAAGCATTCCTGGACAAAGTCAGAGAGGTGGTCTGGAGCAACTGTGCAAAAGCCAGGCAGAGTTTCTAAAACACAGTAGGGGCTTAGGAAAACACTAGCAACCAGCACAGAAGCCCTTCAATTTCTGAATGCTCTGAGATGCAAGCAGAACTCCACACCAGAGCCAGAGCACCTCCATGCTGCCCCAAAGGTGGCCCTAGTGGTCACTCACGGAGTGTCACTTTGGACTTGGGAACAAATGGTCTTGGGACAGCCTTTTCAGACCCGCCATTCAGTAGTAACAATAGCAGATACTCACACAGTACTCACTATAAGCCAGGCACTGTGCTAAGAGCATGATTCATTTGATCCTTTCACCAACAAGGATGGGAGCTTATTACCCCATCTTACAGATGACGAAACTGAGGCCCAAGGCCATGGCACGTCTGAACTTGAACCCCAGGAAGCTCAGCAGCAGAATCTATGCACTTAGCCACTATGCTAGGCTGCCTCTCTTAAGTAGTGATATTTAAGAATATTTAAGAATCAGACCTTCCCTTCCTCCCTCTTTTCTCCCTCAAGGCCACTAACCTAGATGCTTGCCTTTGTCCTCATACCTTGAACTCTGCCTCCCAGCTGAGTTGGACATCCTGTCAGCCCAGGCCCATCCTCCGTTAGCTGCCCACCCAGGTAGGTGCCCTCCCTTCTCTGTGTTTGAGTGGGCTTGATCCAGTGGTACCTTAAGATGGGACACCTTGGGAGTACCCCCATGAACATTGGTTGATCAGCATATCCTTTTTTAAGGAAAAAAAATCTCACTCGCCTGTAATTTGTGTCATATGTGGGTGTTAGGCTTACCTAACAAATGACTGCAGATTATTTTTTTAGTAGCTTAAATGAAGGAGTATTGCATTAGCCAAGCCACACCTATTTGATGAAGTTCAAGGGGCATGACTTCCACTGTGCACCATCTCTGCTTCCCAGAAGCTGGCACAGCAGGCCTGGTAGTACCCTGACCCTCCGTGGTTGACTCAGGGTCCAGTGAACACCTGTCAGCAGAGTCATCGAGCAGCCCCTCTGTCCTGGGATCAGGCATCCCTGTACTAAGGGCAGACGAGCGTGTGATGTCCATCTACCATCGCGACAACAAATGCAGTCATCACCACTGATGCTCCCCGCCTGTGTTGTCACACGACCGAATGAAGCAGATAGTGCCTCCTTGGGTCCTTTTTGCAACCATGCGAGCCATCTGTGTATGACCGCTCACCAGTTTTGGGAGGCAGTTTACAAGAAGCTCTGTGTTTCCTCCCTTAATTGTTTACGCATTAACTTTGCTCTTGATTAAGCACCTCATTTGAAATCCATTTACTCATACTGAAAAAGCAGGGTCAACAGAAGTGAGTGTCCAGTGTTCACCAGTGGCCCTCCGCAGCAACTGATGATCTTGCCTTCAGATACACAATCTCAAAAGGGGACTTTCCTCAGAAGCCCTCAATGACCAACACAAAGAAAACAAAGGAAAAGGGAATTTGTGACTATGAATCACAGGCTCCACCAAAATCCACACTCATTCACCCAGACAGCCCCAGTACCCCGCCGGCCGACGCTTCACTGGACACCACTTTGCAAAGCCAGGCTCGTTTCTTTTCAACCCTTTGCCCCCATCAGGCTGGCTCAGCCCCACGCAGCACCCAGTTCGTCCTCTGCCGGATGCTTGCCTTCCCACTGGAGTGCGCAGAGCTAAATCATAAACAATCAGTCCCTGTGGGGAACAAAAGGGAAAGTGCCCAAGCAGAAAAGAATGCAGAGAAGTGGGGGTGGATTGAAACAGGGGGAGAAAGCACGGAGTGTTTACATTCTGCCAAGTCACAGAGGGAGTGCTTGGATCCGGTGCCCAAATAAGGTGGGTTCCTCTGGGATCTCTGAAAAAATGGGTGCTTGATTGAATGCCTGAATTCTGCCCCAGACCTGGAGGTCTGAATTAATCAAGTGCTCCTCTCTAAAAGCCTTGCATACTTTGGGCATGGAATCGTGATGTAGGTGTGGCCAGGCATTCGCGTACGTTCTCTTCGGGTGTCTGTCTGCAGGGCTACAGAGAGGAGGATAGGTTTTCACAGAGGATCAGAAGAAGGTAAGGAATAATCTAGGTGGCTGGAAGCGCCATCAGAATACCAGCCTGTCCTCTCCCATTCAGCTAATCCTATATTGCAGCCTGACTTTCCCACCAAAATGCTGATAAAACCTGAGGTGCCCAGCCAGTGAACAGACTTCCTGAGGCAGCTGAATGTCCAGGCTCCCCAAGGGGGTGAGTGTGCCAGCCAGACTTACTAAAGCCACAGATTTTGGCTTCTGCTGAACCAAAGGGCCACATCCAGCACTTTGGTAAATGAGAACATTCTGTCCCCTCCAGTCCTCACCAGCCCAGCAGCCTGGAGGAAGGAAGGTGCTGGGCAGCATGGGGCATGATTATTTTTACGGTGTCTAAACTCTAGGTGCTATTTTTACCTGCCTGTGCCACCAGCAAGCCCTTCCCCCAGAGCAATCTGCAGCCTGGCTTCAGTCCAGCCAGAGGGGAGCTTCTGGGTGTTCCGTGCAGGACAGCTGCTTCCAGTGGGATCGGCTTCAAACATCCTACTGCCTTCACTTTCCCCGATTTTTCCCCCTTTCTGTGTCATTGTTGTCCTTGCACTTAGATACACACACACACACACACACACACACACACACACACACACTCAGCTCTGCATATAAGCTGCTCTTTGTTTCCTAGAACAGACGCTCAGAGTCTTACCTGAAAAACTTGCAGGCTGAGGACTGCGCCTCTCTCTCCAAGAGGAAGGGGAATCCGCAGGGTGTCGCCTGCTCTGTGTCGCGGTTGCTTCCCCAGAGCGGCCCCGTGCCCTGGCTCTCTGGACTGCTCGGCTGCTGCAGCTCTGTGTGGGGAGAGGGGACGGGCCGTGGCATGCACATCAGGGTGCTGGTCCGCCTCCAGACACCATGCCACAGAGCCGGCTACCAGTCCCGCAGGCCTGTGTGGAAAGCAGGGGGGGCTGGCTGGGGGTGCCGAGAATGGCAGCCTCTGGGTCTCTCTCTGGCCTCATTGATCAGCAGAGGGGACCCGCCTTCAGACAACAGCCCACACGGACCCCACCCACAGGGACACACACAAAGCTCTACGTGCCCCCAACACGGACAGCCAGCAGCAGGCCCAGGAATGCAGGGCTATTGGCCGGCAGAGAAGGGGGGCAGAGACAGCAGACGGCAGCAGCAACTGTCCTGGGTGTTATTCTAGCGTGGTTTGTCTTGGGACAAATGGCTGAGCCGAATGGACTACTGGCCTGTCTGAGCAGAATCCTGTTTATTTGGAAGTCTCAGTCGCCAAGGAAACAGCAGGTCGTGGCTCAGAGAGGCTCCTCTGGAATCAGAAGGCTGCTGGATGAAAGAGTCCTTTTCTGTTCTGTCATCTGGCATCCCTGCACAGGGTGTAAGTGTCTGTGTGTGGCAGAGTGTGTGTGTGTGTGTGTGTGTGTGTGTGTGTGCGCGCGCGCCATTCCTAGAGCCAAGCCTTAAAGAGGGCATGCTGCAAAGCCATTCAAGGCAATGGCCATCCAGGCTAGGGCTGGAAGGGGCTGCAAAGCAAGCATTTCTGTTATTCCTTACCCGTGGTTGAGCCTGTCACTGCTGAGCTAGGCAAGTGAAGCCTCAGGTAAGCCCAGTTCCCGGGGTGGGGATTTCATTAAAGGACCTCGGGAATCATCTTTATGCCACTGGCCAGGACAGGATGAGGAAGGGAGGAAGCTGCCCGTACAAAAAGCTCTTTGGCTAGAAGTTAGGGAGTGAAGCTGGAAATTGGATTGAGAGGATACAGCTCAGGAGGTATCTTTGAAGAGACTAAATGGAAACATGATTAATGGTTTCCTATAATTGATGAAGAGTCCCTCCTCCTTAGTTAGGCATTTGAGCCTGTGTGTGTGTGTGTGTGTGTGTGTGTTTGTCTAAGCCTACCCACCGGATGATTCAGACAGACAGGTACGGATTGACCTATGAGAACTAGAAATAGGCTCTCTGTTCTCCACTTCCCCTTGGAAGGTGGAAGCAGGAGCCTGTTCTCCAGGCGCATTGTGTAGCATCTAATGCATTCTGTGGTAGCATCCGGGGAGCCATTTTTGTGCCTTCCGAGGGGATGAGCTTCCAGAGAAGCTCATCCTCTGAGACAGAGACCCTAGAAGCACAAACATCACTTAAGTCCAACCATGGATGAGCCGCAGCTCTCCTGAAAGGGGCTTGAAAAGTACAGAAAAAGTTGATTTCACCAAATCTTACTCACTGGAACCTCCGTGAACTGCCATGTCTGCACACTCATAGGCACTCATAATTTGCTTTACAAAATAATAATCTTCCTGAGGATCTGCTCATTGCCAAAGGGCCTTCTGAAGCCCGGAGAGATAAAAGTATTGCAGACAATCATCTTCTCAATACTGAAGAAGTAGTATGCTGCACCCAGGGTGCATGTTAACTTTCCAGCACGTGGGATAATGGATTTTAAGATTAAAGAACACTCAGTTAGGAAATTAAGCCCATTAAATAGCAGACCAAAAATTTTGAGGACAGAGAGGCAGCTCAGAATCTGTACCCCTAACAAAAACCCTCGCTGTGACTAAACACAAGTGTCCCTAGCTCAGGGTCCTGCCTACACGGCATGGTTGGCCCTTCCTGGGCAGCTCAACTCCTTGGGGCTCCCCTGTCCCTCCTTCACACAAGAGATTAATGAGACTCTGCTACCCGCATCTCCCCAGCAAGCCCACAGCCATATCGTGAGATCCAGTATGCCGAAGTGCGTGAAAGCACCTTGAAAACCGGTAACGCATGTGTAAGGCACTATTTTAGTTTTGTTTTTCCATGACATCTAGTTGTGAAATGCTGTTAAAAACAAAACAAAACAAAACAAAACAAAACAAAACAAAAAAACCTACATAGCTTTTAGGCAAATATAATCCCTAGCTACTGATACAAACTAATTTCTTTACTGCATATCTGGTATTTGGCAATGATACTGTCCAACTGTGGGGAAATAATGAATCCTCTGTTCCTTAAAGTATTTACTATAATAGAATGCCCCTCAATATCGAATTTTCAAGAATGTCACCTTAATATCCCCCAAATTCCACATTCACTTCAACTTGCACATCAAGCATCTTGATTCATCTTTTTTAAAATAATATACATTTGGATATTTTGACTCAGGAGACACGATCAAGTTAATGCTTTCTGGCCTGTTATTTAGCATGGGAAGGGACTTGGGGGTTGCCTCGCCTGGAAGTCTGGCCTCAGAATAGCCCTCGAGCTCTGGGCCAGGAAATAGTCCACGCAAATAATAGCTGGTAGGGCTGCTTATTAAGCATCCACAAGACGCCGGCTCCTCTACAGACCATGTAATAGAACCCATCTCTTCCCCAAAGCTCCCAGACCACTTTTAAAGCCATTTCTGCGATGGCTACAACCTGTGTGCGGGCCTCCTAGCAGTGCAGAGGGTGTATCTGGGAAAAGAAGAACACAGCAGATTTGCAGGACCAACAGAAACCCTGGGAGAAACCTGGTAGGTTTATCCACAGAGGTGTGGCCATGGCCAGAGTCATCCACACCTAAAATGTTTTGGCTGGTTGCGGAGGTGAGATTTTTTCCTTCTGCATCCTAAGAGATTGACTCACAGTGGAGCCTTTGAGCGGCTGCCGGTAGCAGAAGTGACTCTAAACCTCTTCTCAGGGCCGTAGCAGGGTGATAAAGGTGGAAGGTGGCACTGCTGTCCATTTACTTATTCTGTGCTCAGTGCTCTGTAATCAGACATCCCTGGTCAATTTCACTAACATGACAGCAGAACCAGAGCATGACAGAATCAGCAGAATTCAAAATGCCCCCCAGTAAATACTGTCCCTCTCCAGGCATAACCTAGAAGCAGTGGTTTCTTGTGCCTTGAATCTTGAGGCTGGTCATTAATATTTGCTTTAAAACTTACCCCTTCGTTCATCCTGCTTACAGAAATGATGCAGTTATTTGAAACACACACCAGACACACTGCATTTTCTTTCTAATTTCATCTGACCTTGTTGGGACACGACAAATCCTAATCAGCTGACAGGAGAAATCAGATGCTGCATTATACTCTCTCCCCTGGCAAAGTATTTCCTTCTGTTTATGCCAAATCATGCAATTAAATGAAGGGCATGCTGGCCTCATGGTGAACCAAATGCCAGGATGTCGGGGGAGCGATCTGACAAACATGACAAAGAGAAACGCAGCAGACATTCACAGGAAATTGTATTAGTTGCCCAAGGAGATCTGAAAGCCACAAACATCATCAGAGCCGCAGGACAGAAACAGGGCCTAGTGGTTTTCAGACGGGCAGTACCCAATTCCCATGGTAACCCAAGAACAGCTCAGGCCATGGGTGCCCTGCCTCTCCAGGGACTTCAGGAGCCCGTGCTTGGAAAGGACTCTAATACACGTGGGGTGGGCTTCCTCTCTCTGATATTGATCACCCATCACCTATTCTGTGTTTTCCTTTATCTCAGTTTTTCAATTTTTATTTTAAAACATTTTATCTTTGGGGCGCCTGGGTGGCTCAGTGGGTTAAAGCGTCTGCCTTCGGCTCAGGTCATGATCCCAGGGTCCTGGGATTGAGCCCCACATCGGGCTCTCTGCTCCGCGGGGAGCCTGCTTCCTCCCGTCTCTCTCTCTCTCTGCCTACCTCTCTGCCTACTTGTGATCTCTGTCAAATAAATAAATAAAATCTTTAAAAAAAATAAAATATTTTATCTTTAAGTAAAAGTAATGCTTCACACATGTGACAAAAATGCATGACACATGAAAGGCTGTAAAATGACCCTCATTAATCTCCTCTCCCCAGAGATAACCATCATTAACTTTTTTTTTTTTCTGGAACCTTTGGGGGAAACTGGCTTCATCCATCTGAATGTGTATGTGCACAAAAACAATTTACTAGGTACAGTGTCTTGCATTGTTTGTTTGTTTTCCCCTTAATAATAGATGTTTGCACATTGGTCTAGTCCATCCAAGCACCAGTATTTCTAGGTTATTGGAATATGCTCCTAGCTGATTTTTCTGCTTCTAGAACCCTAACCCTCTATATTTCAGTCCAGAAGGATCCTGCTGAAAGGTAAATCAGATCATGTCCCTGTTTGTTCCAAACTGTGCATTGCCTTTGACTTGTTCTAAGAACAAAAGCTAAGCTTGCTACCACCACTTGCTTCCCTAGGTCCACCCCC